TGGGGGAAGTTCTCAGTCTTTATTGACTATAACAGGGATTGTTTGTTCATTTTTGCGGATTACTCAAATAATAGAAGCCCTGTGCTCGAACCAGGTAATATTTAGACATATTTAATAGTTAGTCGGCTATCTCACGGGACTTCTTCATTTCAACTTCTTATCATCTGTAGTTTGGACCCCTATTTGATTTTGTGAATGAATGCGCATTGATTTTTTGGCATCTGAATTCGCTGTAATCTTGCCGAAAAACGGCAATTTGAACGTTTTATGTACAAAAATAGTATTTTATGGCTCGTTTTTCTGGTCCCGATCTGAGATTGGAATTTTTATTGTTTCATTTCCTAAACCTATCTAGAGGTTAAAATCCAACTAAATGATCAATGGTATCGGAATTCCCGTGAGATACCCTTCTAGGAAGTTAAGTTTACTGACAAGGGACAAAAATAAGACGGCGATCTGTTCGTCGCATAAATGTTCTGCCACCAATACTCAATTTGTTCAACATGTACATGCTAAGATTATTCTCGAGCATTATGTCGTTTCAGCAATTCGATGTGACATCTGGAGAAAAGTGGTAAAACTGGAATTACTTTTTGGCCCTTGTACAGTTCTTTGTTCATTTGGAGATGATAGAGTCGCAAAGGTTAACTGCAGAAAACATGTGACGTATTGTCCGAAGGATACACGAAAACAAGATGTTGAGTTCTGAAGTACTGCTATTCTTGGTGCAGTTCTTCACAAATTTTTACGGTTCTGTCGCAAACACTTAAACTTCTTCATAGATAAGAGCGTGCTCAATCGAGAGAGCGCGAATTAATGTGGTGCCTGTTCAAAGTGCACACGCCTACCTTTTTTTTTTGTGAACATTTTGTCAGGCAGAATTTCAACTGCGTAAAATAAATCTCTATACGAGACACTTTGGCATTTGCTGCTTTTGTTGAGCACAAATTTAGATTTAAGAGATCAATCATTATATTCAGGTAATTTTAACTACTTTTAGATAGGGGTGGAAGAGAAGTAGCAGGAAAATGGTGGTTTTGGAGCTTTACAATCAAATTGCTTTTTTGATACGTTTGTAAGACCTTTGATATTCTAGTCATCACCGGTGCAACAGATGGAATTGGCAAGGCTTATGCTTTTGAATTGGCCAAGAAGGGCTTCAACATCTTCCTTGTTTCAAGAACTCAATCAAAACTTGATGAAGTGCAGAAGGAAATTCGTGAAAAATACAGCAAGGTGTTTCCTCTCAATAAACTTATGCATTTGTGCGCACTTCAAGCAATTTGTTCAGGTTGATGTGAAAACATTTGCTTTCGATTTTTGCAACGGGTCTGTAGAAGCTTATAAGCCGCTGCGTGAAGCACTGAATGGTGTTGAAGTGGGAGTTCTCATCAACAATGTTGGAATGAGCTACGAGTATCCTGAGGTGAGCGAAAGTGCTTAGTGTTTCACTATCGCTTTGATATTTATGTTTCAGCGATTGCACAAAGTAGAGGGAGGTGTGGAACGACTAGGAGCAATTGCAACGATTAATACTCTTCCTCCAACCATTGTGAGTTTTGCGCCAGGAAATAAATGGTTGCACGAAGATACGTAGATGGCGCGCCTGCTTTATAACCTAAAATTTTTTGCGAATCTGTATAATCAAAATATAATTAGGTAGATTGGTTGAGGTGAAGAAGACAAATTGCTTGTGTATATCACTGTTTCTGCCAAATATTACTTCTGTTTGAACATTCACCCAGTCATGCATCTTTAAATTATTACTGTAATTTGATGTGATTATATCATTACAAAAAGTTTATGAGTACAGGTTATCACTTTTTGGTTAAAATTTCTCTAATTAATTTTCTGGATACACTTGAATTGCACAAATTACAGCAAGGATAAGATACGTAAACAAGTTTGTATTGCCGTGTTGGTTTTTTCATCCATAACTTGGAAAATCTTCCATTTTTGCTATGAGTAATTTTCAAACCAGTTTTAGCACACATTTTGCCGCACTGTTAATGTGATCTTAGGCCTTCGCAGCATGTGATCTTACTGTAGCCACAGTAATTTACAGTCACAAATCATGGTGCATGTGGACATGATATTTAATTTGAGGAGTGATTGTATCTAATAGCATTTGATTTTAAGGTAATTGATGATGTTTGGTGAATGAGTTGGGCTAACCTTAACATTAGAAAATTGGAAATTGTTGAAATAATAATTTTGTCATTCAACTTATGTGTTTTTTTTGAAATACA